TCATGCTCTGAAAAACACTGGATCATACCCTGAAAAGCCCAGTGCACTGCCAAGGAGAAACAGGTGGGACCCAAAAGAGACAACAGGGGAATTGGCTGATTTCAATACAAGTTGTTCTTTAATAGGCCCAGTTTATATCCAAGAAAATGGTGTAATTAGGGAATCAAAGGAATCCCTGCTTGTTTGAGTGGTTAGAGCAAAGGCCTGGCAAACAGGAGGGCCATGTGTTCCAAGGGGAATCCTGTGGCTAAAGACACAGGATTAGAAATCAGCCAATCTCCATTCCGTATCCAGCTCTGCCACAAACCCAGGCCATAACTATGCAACTGGATCCACCCAGGCAGACTCTTGCACCCAAACAGGGGTCCGCAGAAGTCAATGGGGCCCTGCTGGGGGCCATGTGAATCCAGTTTCAGGAATAGGGGCCTTGCTTTTCTGTATTATCACAGCAAGTCATTTCTCCTTGCTATCCCCCAGTTTAAATGGGGATAATGATAAGATCAGGATGCACATGGAGGCCTAATGAAATGTCTCCAAAGCGCACTGAGATCCTTGGATGGAAGGTGATATAGAAATGCCAAGTAGAGTTAATATTAATCATTCGGGCAGAGCCAGCGAATGACCTCTGAGCTATTGTGTGACCTCTGGGAAATCATGTGGCCCCGCTGTGCCTCGACCAAACCAGATGTGAAACTGGGTGGAAGCAGAACATGACCGGGCAAACAGATGCCACATCCAAGCCGAGCTTTTCTGAGCAAAGACATTACAAGACAGAGAGGAATGAATACCAAATGCAAATACATTGCGTGATGTGCACAGACTGGAGAAGGCTGTCCCCTTGGCATGTGCACATGCTCCTATTAACGCTAATGGGAGGCAGGCAAGCGTGTCAAGGGGAGAACAGTCCCCAAAGGACTTTCTTTCTCTTTGATATTTCTCCATTTAGAGAAGATAGTTTTGACCTTTTGCAAGCAAAGTGGGTAGGAATTTGTAAACTGAGAAATCTCATCAGCATGAGACACACGATGAAACACAGCCTGATCCAGGCTGCTAATGGTGTGCTGATTGCATCTGACTATCCCCAAACTGAGCATGGCTGTGCTTTACTGGCTAGGAAGAGCATTTAAGACTGGGCTGGAAATCTGCATGCAAGGAACTGTCCCTCTTCTGACCATTCATAATTATGGAGGCCCGGAACTGGTCCAATGTTAAGGCACATTTCCCAGCATTTGTACCCTCGCCTCCGGGTAGTCAGAATAGATTGCACATGTTCACTCTCATGCAACTGATACCGTCTCTAGGGGATACCACAAGAATGATTTTGCATGTTTATTGTGAATGGGCTGATTACAGTGGACTTTAATGGATTGCTACAGTAGCTTTAAATCAAGGTAACAGAAAAATGAGTGCTCTATAGCAAGGACACATTATTAGGCATATGGGCAGATACAGTTTGCACCCACAAAACTTGCGCCTTCACTTTTACGCCAACAGTTCAGCTGCAGGACAAAGTGCAGCATTAGCAGCTCTAAGTACCCAACTGCAGATCAAGGCTTGTGCTGAAATTCATTTTGCAGGTGCCAAAAATGCAGGGGCAAATTCTGCAGGTGCAAATTGTTCTCACAGAAGTGAAGCTGGGCCTCAGGCTTGTAAGTACATTGACTGAATGTAAGTTGTGATACGCAAAAGGCCCCAGTCCAATAGGGCTAGGGCCAGGGCCAGGGCCAGGGCCAGGCCCCCACTGACAAAGAAGCTCAAGGAAAAGTCTTCTCTTCACATGCACAGTTAACACAGCAATAATTCAACCCCTAGAAACTGTCACATCCACCTGCACCGAATCCAGCCTCACTAATGAGTTTAGTAAACTGCATGTAACTGGTAATGGGCATAAGTAACAAATCCCAAGCTTAGAAAGGTTTCAGAGTAACAGACGTGTTAGTCTGTATTCGCAAAAAGAAAAGGAATACTTGTGGCACCTTAGAGACTAACCCATTTATTTGAGCATGAGCTTTCGTGAGCTACAGCTCACTCCGATGAAGTGAGCTGTAGCTCACGAAAGCTCATGCTCAAATAAATGGGTTAGTCTCTAAGGTGCCACAAGTCCTCCTTTTCTTTTTGCAAGCTTAGAAAGAGACTGATCTGCAATTTGAGCCCAACATGTCCAGGAGATCAATTCTGAGAGCTACCACTTTAATTGGCTTAAAACCCTACCCCACCATAACAGATCAGGGGGTCGGATTATTTATAGAACCAGGAGCAAAAATAAATAAATAAATAAATAAAAATTAACCAATGACTACAATGTAATTGTAGCTGAGCCATTCTCAAACTGTGACCCATGGAGCACTGGTGGGCCATGGTCCACTTGCTAACAGTCTGTAGACAGCTGGCTGGTCCCAAGGTGCTGGCTCTCCCCCACATCTCCAGCTGCTACAGCACATTAAAGACAGTTTTTACACAACAGATTTCCCTAATATCGCTTTTCCTTGTAAGCACTTGCTGCAGATGCCACGGGGCTGGGATCAGAATGGGTAGGAAGGCAGGTTTCAGAGTAGCAGCCGGTCTGTGCAGTCACGAATGAGAAGGGACAGACAATCTCACTATTAAGATGCGTTCTATACTGCGGAAAAGTTTGAGAACCCTTATGCTACCTGATCATGGGAAGAGTAACAGACAAATGCCTCCACACAGATATGCTGGGACAAACAAGGCCACAGAAAACAGAAATACAAGGTGGGAATAGCGTCAAAACCTGATCCAAACTCCTCAGTTGCTAGTTGCATTTTTTTCAGAAATTTGCCACGGTCTCCCCTTTCTCTCCCAGCATTAACGTCTCTACAAATCAGCTCTGTTGCAGAGGCCTAGCTCCTTCGCACTGTCTGCCTGTAGCTCTGTGACTCTGAAAGAGAGTGTTGCAGGCTGTCTGGGGTGGAGAAGAGAAAGGGAAGCTCAATAGCCTGGCCCTGGGAAAGAGGCATGCCAGTAAATGATCAGCTCAGAGCCCTGGAGAGCCAGTGGAGATGCAGGCAGTGGAGCTGACCTCTGGTGAGTGCCTGTCTGTGCTGTCTCTCATCCTGCTCACATGGACCTGGTCCCAGCTGTTTCGGTGGGGAGCAGAGGAATGAAATGCCAGAGGACTGGGATAAAGGAAGGGGAGAGGCTGGATGTGCGATGGCTCCAATGGTACCCCACTCCTGCACGTTCTGTGTGACACCACTGACTTCCATGGGTGTGGGCACGGAATGGGACCCTGATCTGAGCCAAAGGCATCCAGCACCCTGCCAGATGCTCTCAGCACCTCACAGGATCAGGCCCTGCAGGGAACCAAGACTGAGCTGTTCAGTTTCTGACTGAAGTGGTGAGTGGATTAGAATGGTGCAACCCTTTAGCCGCGGACTGCTCGCTGTGGTCCCTTGTTACAGGGACCAGAAGGACACCACGTTCACCCCTTCCAGAGGGGCTAGCAGCTTGGCTGGCGTCCACACACATGCATTATAAACCGCGGGGGGGGGGGGAGTTTGTTGGGTAGGGGTGATCCTGTCAGCTGTCTGGTGCCTTTTTATCTGGTACCTGTTTCCTCATGCCATGAAAAGGCTCCATAAACGTAATATTTCAAAACAGCCCCCAGCCCAGTGCTGCCTTCCCCGTCACTGGGGTTTAGGTAAAGCACCCCCATGGCACATCAGTTACATTTAGCCCTCAAAGCCTGTCTCGGCCCAGGGCTTTCCCTTCCTCCCGGCTCCAGTTTGCCCAGGACTCTCCTCTCTTCCTGAATGGATGGGGCTCACCGGAGGGAGCTCATATAATAACCCCAAGACACACACCCAAGGGGAAGCAGCCCCAGCCTCCATCACCTTCCCCACTTCACGCTGGTCGTGTGCTTCAGCTCAGGGGACCAGACACCCTCTACTTGCAGCTCATGAACTGTTGATCTCAGGGATCTGATTACAGAAGAGACCCTTTCCTGCTCTATGACAGGCTTCAGAGTAGCAGCCGTGTTAGTCTGTATTCACAAAAAGAACAGGAGGACTTGTGGCACCTTAGAGACTAACCCATTTATTTGAGCATAAGCTTCCGTGAGCTACAGCTCACTTCATCGGATGCATCACGAAAGCTCATGCTCAAATAAATGGGTTAGTCTCTAAGGTACCACAAATCCTCCTCTTCTTTTTCCTGCTGTAGCGCATCTGTTCCAGACAAGCAGCTGGGGCCACGTCCCACCCCGGGGCGGAGATCGGTGTAGCTGAGGACAGGACTGCCTCTAAAGCTTTGGAAATTAGAAGCATGAGATCTGGGGGTGAGGGCTTGGAGTAGGCAGGTCCTAGGGGAAGGTGGGTGATGGGCTGCTGGGCCTGAGGGGCAGGGAGGGGCCCTCACCCCAATTGCTGGCTGATGTCCAGCTGCAGAACTGTTCAAAGGACAAGTCCAAAGGCAGGCTGCAAACTCCCCATCTGGACAGAGCAGGTGGTGGGGTCAGATCCCCCTCCCGGATCCTCAGGGAAATTCAGGCTACACCCAGCTCCCTTCCACTGCTCCCCAGAGCCTCTGGAGGGCTCCTACCCCCAGGCCTGGCTGCTGAGTTCCAGGGGCAGTGCAAGGTGTGTGGGGAGCAAGGCTGGGATAGACCCCTGTGTCCTGGACCCCCTTCCCCTGCCATTTCCAGAGGCAGGGTGGAGAAAGAGACTCGCTAAAGCCCCAGGCCTGGGTTGGGCTGGGCAGACCCCGTCTGTGCTGCAGCTCTAGACACGGCTCCGGGGTTGTCCTAGGTGAATTCGCCGGGCCAAGGGGCAGATCCATCCATGCTCCCCCGGACTCCCCGCTCCCGGCTGAACGGGCCGAGCTGCCGCTGGAAGGGGAGCGGGAGCCCAGGCTCCCCTTCCACCCCCCAGCCTGCTCCGGCCCTGCCCCAGCGGAATTCCCCTGGCTCTGCAGGGGAGCGGGGCCCGGAGGCAGCCCCCCCCCGGGGCCCGGAGCCAGCCCCCCCCGGGGCCCGCCCCTACCTCCAGACCTGTCCCAGCTGCAGGAGGTGGATGAGGGACTGCAGGATCCAGATGCAGAGGCGGCAGCAGCCCCGGGTCCGGGGGGCGCCGGGGGCCGGGGCCGGGGCCGGCGAGAGGCGCGCGGAGCCGGGCCGGCCGCCGTCCTTGGGGCCGCCGCTGTCCTTGGTGCTGGCGGCCGGCGCCGGCGGGGCGGCGGCCGGGGCGGCCCCGGGGGCTCGGGGCGCCGTGTGGTCGTACACGAACCAGCGGAAGCTGAGCAGCTGCACCACCAGCGAGGGCAGCAGCGCGAAGAGCAGCGTGAGGCCGAACCACCAGCGCTGGCGCCGCAGGTAGTAATCGGCCGCCAGCCACAGGTCGCTGGCCCCGTCCGAGAAGAAGACGAGCAGCGCGCCCAGCACCCAGCAGCAGTCCAGCAGGCTGTAGGCGCGGGGCGCCGGCGGGGCGGCCGGCCCGGGCCCCGCGCCCCCGCGGCCCGCCCCGCCCGCCAGGCTGCCCCCGCCGCCGCCCTCCGCGCCCGGCTCCATGCGCACGGCCGCGGCGGCCCCGGCTCCGTCCGACTTCGCGGCCATGTTGCGGGAGAGGAGGAGAAAGGAGGGAGAGGGAGAGACTTCCGGAGGGAGGGCGGGCTGGGGCGGGGAGCGAGGGAGGGGGCTGGAGAGGGGCTAGAGGAGGGGCGGGGGTGGAAGGGAGGGGGCTAGAGGAGGGGAGGACCCCGTGCTGGACGCCCCCTCTGCAAACCCACCTCCCCTCTTCCAGTTACCCCCCCCCACCCCCACGGCAGCCGCAGCCGGAGCCTGTCCGGATGGGGCCGCCGGGCGAGGAGGAGGCAGAGGCGGGCGGGGAAGAGCTGGGGTCCCGCCCCACTCGGGCGGGCGGTTATTCATTCATTCCTCCTGCATCCCCCCTTCCCCGCTCCTTCGTCCGCCTGCTTCCCCTCGCCCCACCGGTCCCGGGGCCGGGGGGCAGACGCTGTGGCAGGCTGGAGGCTGGGGGCGCTCTCCCAGTTTGGGGGCTTCGCCCATCAGCGGACCAGAGCGCCCCGAGGCCTGCCCTGACCCCACCCAGGCTCACACGCGTGTTCAGGCCCGGTTGTCATGGCTTTTAAGCCTCACCCCACGGGCGCTGCATTTGCACGAACGCTTCCCCACCCCCTGCTCCTATCGACCGCAGATCGTCTCCATCCCTCCCCGGCGCGCAGGGAGCAGGGCGCTGCTAAGGGGAGCCGACGCTCCGAGGCCGCGGGCCCCTCTGGTCCAGGCTGGCAGGAGTCTGGGGCTCGAAGCCCTTGCCCGGCTCTCTGCGTCTCCCGCATACTTGTTGATGCCTCCTCGGATTACTCCGTTCGCAGCTCCCGCTCCTTGGGCGCTCGGGTCCCGCCCCGACCCCCTGCAGCCTGGGCAGGGCGCGCTGCGCCCCGCTAGACTCTACGCGTTCCCCCCAGGCCAGCCCCGGCTCAGTCTGCGAGCTACTGGGGGCGTCCCCGCTGCGGAGTGCGAGGCGTCGGCCTTGGCTCTGGGGAGCCGGGCGGGTCTGAGCCAGGCTGCTCCCAGGTCCTGAAGGGAAAGAACCGCTTGGGAAACCCCGGGGTCGGGGTGAGGGGACATTGCCCCTCCTGCGCTGTCAGGAAAGGGGCGCTGGGCTGGTACAGACTGCTCTGGGAGGCGCAGGGGAAGGGGCCAGGCCCGCTGTTCTCCAAGGGAAGGACTGAGACGACGCCAGAGGCCAGGGAAGAAGGAAGAGCAGCCCCATGCCCCATTTCTGCCCTTCAGCGGGGAAGCGAGGCTGAGGGCGGCCACCTCTGCTTTCCCCTTCGGGAGCAGGGGGCCAGGAGAAAGGGGCCCCACCTGGCAGGGGTGTGCGGAGCATCTCCGGGGGCAGACTCCCTTGCGCCTTCCTGTCGTCTCCCCAAGGAATCCACCGCCTCCCCGCGGTGTGCGCCTAGGGCGCACGGGTCTCCGCTCCACCCCCCGCTCGCTCCTTCTCTTGCTTCCCTCCCGTGGGCGGCCGGCTCCTCTCGGGACGCAGAGTTCTGGCCTGCGAGGCCGGCCGCCGGCGGAACCTCCGCTGGGCTGTTGGCAGGGCCGTGGCTGGCTCTGCTCCAGGTCCTGCCAGGAGCTCTGCGCGCCTGCTTTCCCCTCCCTTCCCCTTCCCTCCTCAGCCACAAGCTCACACTTCACGGGGCGTCGGGACGCAGCAACGTTCCCTGTCCTCTCACCCCGCTGCTGTAAAGGGCCCGCTCCTCAGAGGGGCCATTAGGCCTGTTTGGAGAGGTCCCAAGCTGCCAAACTGGGATGTAGCTCCAAGCTCCCCTCCAGCGCAGAGGGTGGTGGGATCCCTTCTAGAAAGAAGGTCCGGATTCTGAAAGCTTTACTCCCCTCAAATAATACTTTACTCCCCCTTGATTCAAAGGGGCTAGTCATGAACCAGGTTCTGCTCAATTTGAGTAGACTATCAGTTCTAGTCCATGTGCACCTCTCCAGCATGGGGGGAAAGGTTGACTGAGGGGGCCTGGTGAGGACCATCTCTCATGAGGGTTAGTGCACTGGCCAGCTATGTGCCCCCTCCCAGAGGCAGCAAGTCAAGATGGGAAACCTTTCCAGGAATCTCACACTGGGCCCATGGCCACCCTTACCCTGAGTCTCCTATGGGGAGGTCCACGCTCAAATTCTTTGTCATGTTTTAATGTGCTAAATATGACTGTAGACAAAACATGGATGTTCCTTTCAATTTTTGTTTAACCCTTGGCTGAGAACCAGTGTGGGGTACACATGTCTATACTGGAATTTACAATAGTTAGTTAACACCCCTAAAAATACAAGAATCCAGCTGGACACGTACCTTCTATGTTCATTTCCCTCCTGCACCACAGCCAGCAGCTTTCCTGGACTGAGAACAGAAAGCTCACCACGGCTATACTCCACCTCCTCATTTCTTCCCCAGTTTAAAGCCACGGGGGGATGTGACAGGATCGCTGTAGATCATTTCCCTTCTGCACAGGGGTTTTATCGGGAGCCACGCACGGGCCTTTTGGCAGGGGAGGGAGGAGACAGTAGATGAAAGGAAATGGTGAGGGGCTCAGGTGACCTGATATTTTGGTTTGGAACGGAGCTGCTGGTTCATGCACGAGGAAAGTTAGGAGTGGAGGAGACAGCAGAAGCAGCAGGGCTGCCTGGGGGTGGGGTTTTAAATGAAAATACCTCCTTGATAAGGCCGCACTTAATGTGCCCCACTTAACGGGCCATATTGCAGAAACTGCAGGTTCTGCAATATTAGACTGTCACGGCAGGTTTCACAACAAGAGCCCCGCTGTGTGCAGGGCTGACGGTGGAAGCCCCAGCCACCCTGGGGCTGAGAGGGAGCCCCCACTGTCAGCCCCCTGTTCCGGTTGTCATCCCCAGGCAGCCGACAGCAGAACATCACGGAAAAGTACGAATGGATTTTATTACCATAAGGTCCATTATTACTTTTCCACAATTTTCCATGGCTTGTCTGCCACTCAACCGCAATGTTTTACAATCCTCCCACAATTCAAGTAGGGCCTCATTCATTGCTGTCAAAGGTGGACATGCTCACAACTTAGCTGTTGCCTGCAGGCAGGAGCCTTTGAGGTAATTGTGGCACTTTTTAGGGTTACCCCAAGGTGTCCAGGGTGAATCACTACCACCAACTTACAAGGAGAGAGCCTTGTCTGTGCCCACCTGGGGAAGCCCGCCTGCCCTCCCTCCCTCCCAGCTGGTGACAAGACAAGCTCTCTCCGCAGGCCCTGCTCATTCCCAGTGCAAGCTAGGAATTTACACACTCCACTTGGTTACACTCAAGTGCCCAGTCCCCTATCTTCCTGATACCTGCAATGCAAACCGATCTGCTGCTTCCAGGGAAGCAGTGAACTGAGGTGAAACCAGGGAACTGAGGTGCAACACTCTCCTTAGTGCAAGGCACGGAGACGTGTCTACAGCAAAACCAATTTGAAGTTTATTCAACAGAGCTTGAGATAGATTTTCAAATAAAAGATAGTGTAAGTTTGGAAACATAAGGTCACAAGTAAAGGAAAACATAAACTGCACCCTATAGCCTATCCTTCCTTTCCTGTCTAATAAGGTATTTCTCAACCATGGTCAGTTCTTCTCCGGTCCAGAAAGCTGAGATCCGCCTGTCATGAGAGAACACAGCTGGTAGAGTCTCTTCTCTGTAATGGATAAAATGTTGTTGTCTTTTCCTCTTCTTTTATACAGTCACAGACTCTGTCTCTTACCCAGGGGGTCCCCTATTCAGAGACTTTTCTTGGGGTTCATTTGTCTTTGTAAATCCACAACTCTGCACCAGGTCCAGAGAGCAAATGCAGGACTGGCTCCATGCATGTCCATTGTTCTCAGTGGTGATTGAGTTAGCCTTGAGACCTCAAGGTGACAAGTTTCACACCAACAACTTTGAAAGCCAGTATCCACTATGTTACATAACTCAAAAATTATTTCCCATACAAACATCATGAAATAACCACCCCATCAGCTAGTTCGTAGCTTTCGACAGAGACCATCCAACACTCCCCTTCAGGATGGCAGGACACAGGGGTAACACACCTGGCTGGGTCAGCCTGGGGATGTGTGTGTTACAGGAGTGCCTTTCCAACAGGAAAAGGAGTACTTGTGGCACCTAAGAGACTAACCAATTTATTTGAGCATGAGCTTTCGTGAGCTACAGCTCACTTCATCGGATGCATACCGTGGAAACTGCAGCAGACTTTATATACACACAGAGAATATGAAACAATACCTCCTCCCAGCCCACTGTCCTGCTGGTAATAGCTTATCTAAAGTGATCATCAGGTTGGGCCATTTCCAGCACAAATCCAGGTTTTCTCACCCTCCACCCCCCCCCACAAATTCACTCTCCTGCTGGTGATAGCCCATCCAAAGTGACAACTCTTTACACAATGTGCATGATAATCAAGTTGGGCCATTTCCTGCACAAATCCAGGTTCTCTCACCCCCTCACCCCCCTCCCAAAAACCACACACACAAACTCACTCTCCTGCTGGTAATAGCTCATCCAAACTGACCACTCTCCAAGTTTAAATCCAAGTTAAACCAGAACATCTGGGGGGGGGTAGGAAAAAACAAGGGGAAATAGGCTACCTTGCATAATGACTTAGCCACTCCCAGTCTCTATTTAAGCCTAAATTAATAGTATCCAATATGCAAATGAATTCCAATTCAGCAGTTTCTCGCTGGAGTCTGGATTTGAAGTTTTTTTGTTTTAAGATAGCGACCTTCATGTCTGTGATTGCGTGACCAGAGAGATTGAAGTGTTCTCCGACTGGTTTATGAATGTTATAATTCTTGACGTCTGATTTGTGTCCATTTATTCTTTTACGTAGAGACTGTCCAGTTTGACCAATGTAAATGGCAGAGGGGCATTGCTGGCACATGATGGCATATATCACATTGGTGGATGTGCAGGTGAACGAGCCTCTGATAGTGTGGCTGATGTTATTAGGCCCTGTGATGGTGTCCCCTGAATAGATATGTGGGCACAATTGGCAACGGGCTTTGTTGCAAGGATAAGTTCCTGG